GGCCCGGTGCGGCTTGGTGGGGTGCAGGCCCCGCCGGGGAGCAAGCCCGGCCTCCACCCCGACTCCTGTCAGGCGTTTGGCCGCTGCCGCCCGCTGCCCCGTCCTTAGCAATTTGAAAAAGAATTATTATATTTTTTCCAGTAGGTGGCAGTAAAATAAAGCGACCGTGTTGTGCGAGGCGGGCTGCCTCCCCTGAGCGGGAGCCTTTGGGAGAGCAACGGCACCTCAGTGGCACGCACCAACGGCCTGCGCGAAAAGCAGCCATAAATAGCTGTTCCAGCGAAATATAGCAGCGAGGAAAAACGGAGGCCGGGATGGAGGAAGGATATCTGACCGCAGGTCCTGGCTCTGGCTGCGTGGCAGCCGGCTGTGGCTCGGGATTACCTTTCACTCCGCACCAGCTAAGCACGCACAAGGCATATCCGATTGCTGAGGCTTTAAGGTAGTTACCTCCTGGCCAGCAGTTCGTTCTGTATTGCTTAAGTGTACCAGCTTTGGGGGTGAGGCTGGTTAGGATTACTGGTTAAACAGAAAGGGAAAAAAGAGCTCTTTGTCTTCTTGGCAGGAAGAAGGAGTCCCGCGGTCGGCTGTAAAGGAGAAACCCCTCAGCAAACCCTGGTGCTAGGCATGGTTGTCAAAGAAAGGTTTCAGTAAAAGAACAGAGCAAATACCTGGGGAATGTTACCTAGGTTGCCTGAAGAGCGGAAGGGTTGTGAATGTGTATGGGTGTGTATAAGAACTGTGGTTATATAAACTTCCTTCTGATGGAGAGCAGTTTAAAAGAACCAGAGGTATAGGAATGTCACCTTCATTCTTCGTAAAATGGGATAATTGTGGGGAGAAACGTTTATGTGTTTGGAAGAATTCTCCTGATCAAAATGGCAAAGTTTCTCAGAGCTGTGAGCATGAGGATTGTTTCCTCTCTTGCCTCCCCTGCTGAGAGGCAGGTGAAGGCTCTTCCCTCCTCTCCTCACATCTCTTTCAATATCACAGTTCTTTTGGGGAAAGATAGAAAGCGTGCCCCAGATAAACAGGTGGGATTAGACAGCATTGAAGTATTTATATGGCAGTCATGAAAGTAGATCCTTCGTTCCAATAAGATCCATCATGCTGCAGAAACAGCTCTGCTGGTATTTGGCCCATAGTGGAAAACCGACATAAAAGATGAATGAACTGAGCCTGCAATATTTTTGAAAAATATCTGTAATCGGGTGAGCATTGATTTTGCTGTCTACTGATGTAGACTTCTCTTTAGATCCTAGCAAGTGGTGATATTGCAGCCTTAAGATGCACTCCCAAGTTTGAGCAGTTGTTACAGTGAAACGTTTATACTGACTGACTAGTGGGCAGGGAAGCCTGACAGAAAAAGGGTTACCCATTGATTATCCAGGTGAAGTCTGTGAACTGTTTGTACATTTCTGATGAAAGATTAGCAAATAAAACAAATCAGGCGGTAGTCATGGAAGTGAACTCTGCCGCTTTGGGGCTTTTTGTAACGAAATCTCGCGCCAGTTATGATGTTATCAAAGAACTTTTTTATTGCTTAGCGACAGAATTCAAGCTTTGTTTCAAACCACACACAAAAATATTACAAACATTGTAGTAGTAATATCATCCTCTACACTGTAGTTAGTCTTTCAACCCACAGATTTTAAAGCTCTTTAAAACTCCTCTGAAGCTGGAATGTATTCGTACTAGAAATGCAATAAGCAGTAGCTTTACCATAGTGATTAGGTCATATACAGTGCTTATTTATTAATTACTTGTCATTATATTTTGATTAATAGATGCCCTGGATCCATTTGGTTTTGCTATTATAGCAATTCATTAATATCCATGACATGGTGTGCTAGAATGTTCACTTATTACCTGCCACAAACCAGCAAAGGGAATTTTCTTTAACATAGCTCGTCAGATACAAAATTATGTGAATTCCTATCCCCCTGGAGCTTTATCTTCTCAAAATGTTTGTTTTGGTTTGGTTAACTTGTTTGCAGTCTTCTACCACAACCTAACTAGGTATTTTTTCACAGTATCTATTTACAGTTTCTGAGCACAGATACAAAACAGATTACAAATTCAGTTAGTGCCGTGGAGCCTTTGTATGAATTCAGCCTTGTAAAAACAAACCTCTTCTGTACAATGATGAAACAGAAATGTGGAGCTTTCCAACAGCTGTTCAGAGTACATCAAATCATCTAGAGTTTGCTGTTTAATTTTCTGCGGACTCCAACTCCAAAAGATGAAATTTCTTTCCAAGTCAGAGCAGATCCAGAGCTGGATTACTGTGTAGATAACTAAGCAATATGAGTTCTAGTTATTGCTAATTTTTTGGCTGCTAGTGGGAAGATGGGGCCCGTTAGAAGTGAGCTCATTATGAGAGGCTCACTAACACGATAAAGTCAGTACTCTATTTGCACAGAGTGATATCTCTAATTGCTCAGGCCTTCTTATGGTTTGTGTCTGCTTGAGTTAGATTTCTTTTGTGTAGATAAAAAGACTTCTGTAAGAAATCACCTCGGTGCTACAGCACTGTCAGTCTGGAGGGCATCTCCAATGAGATTAATGATGTCTGCCTTAATATAAGAAAACTTTGCATAAATGAGATTATGGTTTCTGCTGAAACCTGCCAACTCTTATTCATTTGCAGTAAATATTATCTTTAATTAAAAGTTTTAAGGTATCTTGTTCCTGAACTAATGAGATCTACAGTGATTTCCCTTAGGAATTAATTTATCTTCTTAATTCTTACTCAATTTGGTGATATGACTATTTAAATCTGATTCAGACTTCAGAGCTTTGTTGAACATATTCATCTAGAACAAAAGGTCATTTTGCCATATTGACGTTTTGTTGGTATTTATAATTCTCTGTTCTCTCTCAGTTCCAAAGATATGTGTTTAGGTTCCTGCCCCAAACATTTTCTGCTAACACTTCTTCACACTGAGCGGCTCTTTTCTGTAGCTATTGCACTTTGGCTTATGTTTTCTGTTCCATCCAGAGTACAAATCAATCACAGTGGCACTGAAAAAAGATCCTGATTGTGATCAACTTGTTTAGAAAAGCACAGCTATGCAAAATATGCTAAAATACGTGGAAAGCATTTGGTGCAATTGCTGAGAAATACAGAAATATTTCTGCCTTTATATCTGGGTAGTCATCACCTACAGTTTCTCTACAAGGATTATTTTTAACCAGTAGGGATGCTTAACACTTGGAGGTGAAAATTGCATTCCTGCATATGTGTTTAAATAGGCAAAGTGCCAGCCAGCAACTGGTTTATGAGAATGAGAGCCTGAACCCACTTTAAGATTGTACACCAAAGGACAATATTGCTAGCAAGATTTTACAAGATGTAATTATTATTAATAAATGACAAAGTTCCCTTGCTTTAAAAATAAATATATATAAAAATTAAAAAGTAACATTAAAAAGAAATATCCAGTTTGCATAAATAATGAGGACACTCAGGAAAAAAATTAATAAATACTCCTTAGTTCATTAGCAGGAGACTTTTCTATTGAAATCTAATCTGAATCATGAGACATCCTCTCAGTCTCTTCACTGGTGCTGAAAGATGCCAGGGCTGACATGAGTCATTTACTGATGAAGTAAATGGAGCAAGGGAGAAGTAAAATTATCTCTTGGTGTTAACCAGAGGCCTTTTTGTTCTTGTCTCTGATGAAATATATAATACCTCTTCAGAAGTACATCGTCAGCCTTAAGCAGATCAGTCAAACCATATTTTTTGTAAGATGCAGTCTGTGGAAGATTAATTCCTGCTTTTTACAGGAAGAAATTTTTGTATTTTACTATTATTCCAAATTTTTCCATTTTCCCACCCAAGAATTTGTGATAGAAAACAGTTCTGTGTACACTCTGGGCTCAGTATATCATCAGGACATATCCTTAAAATCTACTGTTCTGTCTTTGAAGCTGATTTTTAAAAAAATTACTATTATACACAGACTGCAGTAGAAACTCATGGCTGCAGGAGATTCCTAACCCTGTACTTGCAGCCCCGGTGGGTCAGAGACACGTTTTGTGGCATCAGCAGAGCGTGCACTGGGACTGGCTATATATAGAATCGTCACCCCCTTCTACAAGTTGTTGATAACCTTCCATTTATAACTTACTCGCAGACCAACTTCCTCCCATCACACACAAATTAGAGGATTATCAATAATGTATGAAGTAATAAATAATGCTTGCGTGCTGTTGTCAGGGCAACAAATATCATTTAGACTGCAAGAGAGATCCTCATTTTGTGTCAAGTATATTCAAAGTCTTCCGTATCTGTAAAGCTGCAAAGTAAAAGAATGAGATATTTTTGTGTGTGTTTCGTTGAGACAGCTGAAAGAAATGGGGCAGTGTATTCTGTTAGATTCACAGAAACATGAGAGATTGGCTCCCTCGCAAAAACCAGTATTTTATATCGTTTACTTATTTAATAGCTCCTTCAAAATATCAATATAAGCAATGTAGGAATTGCCAGATTGGATTACCTGGTAAATCTGCCTGGTGTCCAGTGTCCTATTTACGAGTTACCCTGTTTAGATGTTTTGTAAGGAGCTGCTAGATATTGCACAAGAGCTGTGTGCAGCACAGCCTGCCCGTGGCCTGTCGCACCATCGCCAGACAAACTCAGCTCCAGGGCCTGCGGGATAAGCTTTTCTTTCTTTTAAAAAGTACTTGGATGTTACTTTTCAAATCATCTATACGAGCAATAATCCATTGGAGAATTTCTAAGTTTTTGGCTTTACTTACATCTTGTAGAAATGAATTCCCGGGCTTAATTTTTCACCACGTGAAACAGCATTTCCTTTAATGAGCCCTAATTGCGCAGCCTTTCCCTCTATCTTCTTTGCTTGTTTTTGTTTAGCAGAGTGAAAACTGAGGCATGTAAATATATACATATTCTTATTCTTAAAAAAAACCCCAACATAACAAAAAAAACAAACAGTCAAGACCTGCCCCCAGTGTGAGCGTTTATCATTGATTCCAGGATTTGATCCAAAAAGAGTATTTGTTTAAATGGGCTCTGTTGCCATCATGTACAGTAACTATTGATTTAGAAAAGCTTTGGCAGGACACGTTGAAGTATTAGGGAGCAGAGGGAGTTTTGTTCCTGAGTTACTTCAGTAATTTGCAGCTATCTCATTTTGCCATTCCCAATGGCCAAACGATCAAAAAATAAATACACGTTAACGATGCTGAACTTGAACAGTCTTCCATGAGATGACATATTTATTTCTTAAATCCTGG